ACACCCAGCTAACTTTTGTAATTTTAACAGAGACGGAGTTTCAACAGGTTGACCAGGATGGTCTCAATCTCTTGGCCTCATGATCCACCCACCTCAGCTTCCCAAAGTGCTGGGATTACAGGCATGAGCCACCGTGCCTGGCATTTTTACATACATTTTTACTGAATAAATATTAATTTTGTAAATAATCATGATACTGTTGCTCAGGCTGGAGTGCAGTGGTGCAATCTTGGCTCACTGCAACCTCAAACTCCTGGGCATAGTACATAACTTCGTACTATGAAGATCAAGATCACCCAGGCAAATTTTGAAACAATCTTCTCAAAGATGATACAACCATATGCTGATAAAGTACTTCAGAGTTTACAAAGAGCTTTCACATGTCATATTTCATTCCTCAACCCCTGAACACTCACACACAACTACCTGGGCAAGTATTATTGTCTGTCTCAGTTCTCTAGATGATAAAACAGGTTCAAGAGGTTAAGTACCCAAGATTACACACCATCTCAGTGGCAAGACAAAGACTTCAACCAAGGCTGGGCACAGCAGTTCATGCCTATAATCCCAACACTCTGGGAGGCTGAGGTGGGAGGATCACTTAAGTCCAGGAATTTTAGACCAGTTTGGGCAACATAGTGAGACTCTACAAAAAATAGCTTCTTTTTTTAAAATTAGCCAGGCATGGCTAATTAATGCTGGCTACCCAGACACTAGTGAGGCTGAGGTGTGAGAAACACTTGAGCCCAGGAGTTTGAGGCTACAGTGAGCTAGGACTGCACCACTGCACTCCAGCCTGAGCAACAGAATGAGACCCTGGTTCCAAAAAAAAAAAAAAGCCATCCATCAGATCCTTCACCTCTACTCTAACATAATGTCTACTCTAACATAACACCACAGGAAAAATCATTTTCAAATTAAGATATATTTAACATTACTCTCAGCAATCTTCTAGGAGTCAGAAAAAAAGTAAACATCTTCAAAGTTGAGTGTAACACCAATAGATATAAATTTTGAAACAAAAATGCTGTATTTACAATGATAAGTACATATGTATGTAATCAGAAAATTCATCTCTTTTATTACATAAAATTATTGTAACGTAATAATCAAGGGAACTCTAGAAAGAATATAGAAATGACCATAAAAATTAAAGTTTAACACTTCATTTAACTTTGATTTTTAAAGTGTCAATTCTTTGTGAACAAAAACATGTTAAAATACTATTACAAGTAATTATCTGGGCGTGGTGATACACGCCTGTGATCCCAGATACTCCAGAGGCCGAAGCACAAGAATCGCTTCAGCCTGGGAGGCAAAGGCTGCAGTGAGCCAACATCATGCAACTGCACTCCAGACTGGACGACAAAGGGAGACTGTCTCAAAAACAAAAAATACTATCACGAGTCAAAAATAACAAGAAGGAATTGGAATTACTGGTTTTAATAGAAAATATAATTAAATATGGTAATTTAAAAACTTTTAAGTTGGCCACAAAAAGCCATACTCCATTTCCAGTCCATCTTTTGATACTTTTCACCTTATTCAATGCCAGAACCAATCTGATCTACTCTGCCTAGAATACATGCCCAGAAATACAAAATGTATGATTTCTACTCTGAACACAATGTAGAGGTGTGCCTAAACATAAAAAGGAATCATACAGTCCCTGAGCTAAGCGAATAGTTTTTAATCTGATTAGGAAAACTGAGATTTGCCATAAAAATTAATTACAGAATACTAAAAAGTAGCTGCAAAGGAGACCAGTGATTCTTTTGTTTTTGTTGTTCTTAGTGATGGGGTCTCACTACATTTCCCCAGGCTGGTCTCAAACTCCTGACCATAGGTAATCCTCCCACCTCAGCTTCCCAAGTTGCTGAGATTACAGGTGCGAGCCACCATGCCCAGTCAGAAATACTAGCTTCTATTAATGTACAGTGAACATTTTCTTATTCTGGGCCAATTTATTCTCGATTAGAAAACTAGGCAATGTAAAAGCAAAACAATTTATCTTACCTTTTTCTTTTTTTTTCAAAATGGCCAATATATTTATTTGACTCTTTGACCAATAACAAATGTCAGCTATCTTTTTGGTTTTGGTTTTTTTCATACATATATATTTTTATGTAACATAAATAATAAATATATTTATATTTTTATGTAAATAACAAATACTATATATATTTTTAAATTATACTTTTAAGTTCTGGGGTACATGTGCAGATTGTGCAGGTTTGTTACATAGGTAGAGACGTGCCATGGTGGTTTGCTGCATCCATCCCCCTGTCATCTACATTAGGTATTTCTCCTAATGTTATCCCTCCCCAATCCCCCCACCCCCTGCTATCCCTCCCCTAGCTCCCGGACCCTCCGAGAGGCCCTGGTGTGTGAATGTTCCCCGCCCCGTGTCCATGTGTTCTCATTGTTCAACACCCACTATGAGTCAGAACATGCAGTATTTGGTTTTCTGCTCTTGTGTCAGTTTGCTGAGAATAATGGTTTCCAGCTTCATCCATGCCTCTGCAAAGGACATGAACTCATCCTTTTTATGGCTGCATAGTATCCCATGGTGTATATGTGCCACATTTTCTCTATCCAGTCTATCATTGATGGGCATTTGGGTTGGTTCCAAGTCTTTGCTATTGTAAACAGTGCCATAATAAACATACATGTGCATGTGTCTTTATAACAGAATGTTTTATAACCCTTTGGGTATATACCCAGTAATGGGATTGATAGGTCAAATGGTATTTCTATTTCAATCTATTAATTAGAATACATCAGTTGCATAATACAAGATTTTTGGTCTTTTTTTGAAAAATGTTTAAGAGTTCTAAAATGCAGTAACATATATTACAGGAATAGTTTAAACATCTTAAATACAAATAAAATCTATTAAATACATCTTTGAAGAAAATGCTCAGAATTCAAAAACTCACTTTAATTAACTGAATAACAAAATTCTGTTTCTGGGTAGATGCACAGTAAAATAGTATGCATCTATTCCCTAGCAACATCTTCAGCTGGATATGACTAACCTCACAAAAACTTCTTGAGAGTCACACAGCGTGGTTTATAAGTGAAGCACAGATTTTATATCATGCTTAGAAGTATACAAGGCTTTACATTTTAAAATAACTAAAATAATATAATTGGACTGTTTGTAACACAAAGTATAAATGCTTGAGGAGACGGATATCCCATTTTCCACGATGTGATTATTATGCATTGCATGCCTGTATCAAATATCTCATGTACCCAATAAATATATATAACCTTTATGTATCCACAAAAATTAAAAATTAATTTTAAGTTCACAAAGCACATAATTATATATCATTATTTTCAATGCTGAAATAGCCCCCCAGACTGAGATGATACAGGGACTTCAACTTCCAGTTCCGATAAAATGGCCTAGGTCTGTTCTCCTACTGCCGCTGCTCAAGAAGTACAACTGTAAACCATTGACGTAACAAGCAAAGGAAAATCCAAAGGTGGTAAAAAGGCAGTAAACCAATTTGAGATCCCAGGACTGGAGAAACAAAAGAGCAGCAGAGTGTTTCATGTCCTCACACCCAACAGAAGAAGACAAGCCAGACTTGGCACTTCGCAAGCACCAATCTAGCAACAGAAAGCAGCTCAGATAGTCACATTCCTCTCCCAAAACAAATGGCAACAACTCTCTGATGTTGACCCGAAAATATCAGGAGGAGGAGATCAACTGGAGGCCCAAATGACAATAAAGACCACAGGAAGCACTCTTCGTCCCTACTTGGCCTAAGACTGTTTTCCACCTAGAGATGCAGAGGCAAGTAGGTGAAATTCAGGGACCCAGCCATAACAAGTGGCTCCGATTGGGCCAAGAACCTCTTCACTTGCCCAAAGGTACCAGGACAGGGGAGAAAAGAAAGAAGAGACCAGTACGTAGGTCCCACCATAATCCTCTCCCATCTGTAGACAATCAGAAACCCAGCATGAGGAAACCCCTTCCAGTGGGAGCTCCAGTAGGATCAAACAAACCAAGTAGACTGCAAAGTCTCTAAAAATTAAACTGCCACTGGTACCACAGCCCACTCCTAAAATAAAAATTTAAATAGGGCCCAGAGCCTCCTAAGATAACAGATAAAATGTTCATGATATAACAAAAAACACCTAAGATAATCACACCATAAATGAGAAAAGATAATCAACCAAGGTCAAAATAGAGATAAATCCAATATTGGAATTTGACAAGAATTTTAAAGCCAAAGTTTCAACAATATATTAACAAATTCTACCACAACAAGTGAAAAAACCACAAACAGCCATAACAAAAATGTTTCAGCAATTATATATCACCCAGAAACAAGTGAAACAAGTGAAAATCTCAGCAAAGAAACAGAAGTTATAAAAAAAAGAAGCATAGTCTTCAGATACCTACTACAGAAAAAGAAAAAAAAAAGGCCAGGTGCAGTGGCTCACACCTGTAATCACAGAACTTTGGGAGGCTGAGGCAGGCAGATCAAGAGGTTAGAAGATTGAGACCATTCTGGCCAATTGGGTGAAACCCCATTTCTACCAAAAATACAAAAATTATCTGGGTGTGGTGGCACGCACCTGTAGTCCTGGCTACTCAGGAGGCTGAGGCAGGAGAATCACTTGAACTCGGGCAGCAGAGGTTGCAGTGAGCCGAGATTGAACCATTGTACTCCAGCTGAGTGACAGTGGGAAACTCCGTCTCAAAAAAAAAAAAAAAAAAAGCATCAAAGCCAGCTGCAGTAGCTCACACCTGTAATCTCAGCACTTTGGGAAGATGAAGCAGGAGGATCACTTCTGCTCAGGAGGGTGAGACCAGCATGGGCAACACAGTGAGACCCCATCTCCACAAAAAATTTTTACAAATTAACTGGGCATGGTGGCACATGCCTGTAGTCCCAACTACTTGCCAGGGTATGAAGATCACTTGAGCCTGGGAGGTCAAAGCAGCAGTGAGCTGTGATCACACCACTGCACTCCTGCCAACGACAACAACAAAAATTAAATTAAATAAATAAGCAAATAAATAAGAAGAAAAAATTAAGAGAACTAAAAAGTAAAATAAATTTTTAAGAGGGGCTCAATTAAAACATAGAGATGGGCCGGGCATGATGGCTCATGCCTGTAATCCCAGCAGTTTAGAAGGTCAAGGCAGGTAGATCACTTGAGCTCAGGAGTTCAAGACCATCCTGGGCAGCAGAGCAAAATCCCGTCTCTACAAAAAAATATAAAAATTAGACAGGCATGGTGGCTTACACCTGTAGTCCCGGCTACTCAGGATGACTTGAGCCTGGGAGGTAGAGGCTGCAGTGAGCCAAAATTGTGCCACTAACTCCAGCCTGGGTGACCAAGTCACACTCTGTTTCAGAGGGAAAAAAAAAGAAAATGACCGGGAAGAGAATACTTTTTTCAATTTACTTTCCTCTCTTGTTTACCTTCACCCAATGTGAATAAGAGAGGAAAGTAAATTGAAACAAGTAATAGCTTTAGGAAACTATAGGGCCAAAAACCAAAAAAGATCCAACATTCACACCATCAAAGTCCCATAAAGAAGGAAAAAAGGGAGTGGGGCTCAAACATTACTTGAAGAAATGATGACTGAAACATTCTCAAATTTAAGGAACACTAACTTGCAGATCCAAATAGCTAAGCAAATCCAAAAAGAATAAACCTAATGAAGTTTACACTAATACAGCATAATTAAACATTCAAAAACCTAAAGACAAAAAATAAAATAAAATAAAAATATCTTGAAAGCAGCATGAGAGAAACAACACATTACCCATAAGGGGATGTCAATTCAAATGACACCAGATTTCTCATCTCAAACCACAGAGGCAAAAAAATAAAAGTGGTACAGTATTTTTCAAATATTGGAAAAAAGACAACTGCCAACTGGGAATTCTATATCCAGTGAAACTGCCCTTCCAAAATAATGAGGAAATAAAAGTATATTCTCAAAAGAAGAAAAGTTTTAAAAAAATGTCTCTAGCACACCAATCCATAAAGAATGGCTAAAGAAAATTTCCTAAACATAAAGAAAATGATTTTTTAAAGGAATGACGAAATATCAAAAAAAGAAACAATAGAAAGAATGGAAACAGAGGTATAAACAAGACTACCTTTTTCTTCATTCGTTTTATAAATAGTATTTCATGCTTTAAACAAAAGTTATAACATTATCTGATACTCAAGACAATTATATTTCAAATTGGAGAAGGCGAAAGGTAAATTAAAGTGAGGTTTCCACACTTCTGTTGAAGTATAAATGTTGATACCACAGACTAAGTCGCGTATGCTTATTACAATAACCAAAACAGCCACTACAAAACCAAGAGATAGATGCAAAACAACACTATAAATAAGCCAAGATGGAATCCTAAATAGAGGTTCTAGTAATCTGCAGGAATAGAAGGAAAAAACAATCATGCACTACCGGAAAAAATTCTTAATTTCTATTAAACCAGAAGTGTAACTATTTCTGTAGAAGATTCATCCTGGCAATGTTAACTTTAGAGCAGGCTAACACTACATGGCTCACATTTTAAATCACGATGGAAAAGCGGATCCATGCTTTTATATGTGTGGTTTTTTCTGGTTTGTTTTTTAGTGTGCAATCTTTTCCTATCACTAAAGTGTCAAGGCTCACCTTGGAGTACACTTAAATAAAAACGCAAAGTACATACAGAGATTTACAATTTTAAAGACAATAAAAAAAAAAAACAGTCCTATTATGTGGTCTCAACAATAAACTCAAAAGTCCATGACAAATGGGGGCTCTGTTGAGCTGTTTATAAATAGTTTAGATTTGGTACAATTACTGAAAGTTGAGTTCATTTGAAATGTTCAAAAAAAAGTTCCTGTTAATACTCAAATGGTGCTTGATATAGTTTAACATTTCTGTTAAATGTATGCAAGGAATTACTTGTTACCCATGTGCAGCAGCAGCTCCTTACCATGTATCATTAAGGACTTTAATTGGCCATATTCTTCAAATTCTATTCTTTCTTGACCATTCTCAACAATTCTCTTTGTAGTGATCTTTCTGTCATTAGCCATTTTAGCAGAAGCTGATATCAATTTGGAGTTGCCCATCCCACTACCACCAAATGACACGGAAGAGAATGAAGTGAAGCCCCCATGACCTAGTGACCTGAATGAAATAAATCTTGGATCAAAAGAAGAAAATCCACTTCCAAAAAATGGAAATCCACTGAATGTAGAAAAATGACTCTGTCCTGTGGCTTCCTCAGGGACCCCTTTGATTCCAAAAAAAGTCCTCAAGGGGGTCTTCAAAGAAGTCAAATGAAAATGGGTCCCTTCCACCAAAAAATTCCCTGAAGGTATCATACGGGTTATAGAATGTGAAACCAAACTCAAATGGAATGACTTCCACCTCCTCCTCCACCATTTAATCCTTCTTTGCCACATCTGTCATAGATGTACCAACTTTTAGCATCTTACAGCACCTCACATGACTCAGCCACTTAATTTTCTCTCTGCTTCTTCTTTATTCTCAGAATTTAATCTGGGTGCCACATCAGTGCCAGTTTCCAATATTTTTTAACATCCTTGGGTGAAGTATGTCTCTGCACACCTAGAACTTCATAGTAATCCATTATGTTTTACCAGATTATTGGAGGAGGACTGAGGATGCAGGTGGCAGGTGATGGAACACAGGTGGAGGTGAGGCAGTGGCCTGGATGCTCTGGGCTCTGGATCTTCTCTCAGCTCTGGCACAGCTGTGCTGGTGGTAGTAACAACAGCTTGAGTAGATTTTTCTTTTTAATGGCCCAATTATATGTTGCTTGCAAGAAATTCAAATTCAGCAACATAGTTGAAAGCACAATAATGGAAAGATATAACAATAAACTGTTTTAAGCAGAGTGGTTACATTAACAACACAATCAACCAACAGTCTTATTAACTTATATAAAGAATATTCCACTCAATAATAGCAGAATATACATTTTCATTTGGTGAACGTACCCCGGAACATTCACCAAAGCCATAAAATAAACCTCAAAAACCTTAAAAGAACTGAAACAGTAACACTGTATTCTCCGACCATAATCTACTCAAACCAGAAATCAGTAACAGAAAGACAATAGGAAAATCTCTAAACAGATGAATAAACAACACACTTCTAAAGAGTCCATGGATCAAAACGGAAGTCTCGAATAAAATTTTAAAATATACGTAAAAATAAATGAAAATAAAAACATAACACATATCAAAATACATGGGATGTAGCTAACAACAATCAGAAGCACTAAATGCTTACATTAGACATGAGGAAAGATGTCAAACTAGTAACCAAATTACCAAAAGAAACTAAAAAAGAGCAAAATGAAGCCAAAGCAAGAAGGAAGAAAATAATAAAGAGGAGAAATTAATAAAAAAGAGGAAAATAGAGAAAATCAATTAAGCAAAAAGTTTATAAGCCTCTAGTAAAACTAACAACAACAACAAAAGACAAAGAGGAGACAGAAAATTTAACAGAGGACACCAGCACAGATCCTACAGCAATTTTAAAAGAATATAAGGGAATACTACAAACAACTTTATGATCTTAAACTTGACACCGAATTCTCAAAACCACACTAGCAAAACACAACCAAGATGAAGCAGAGAATACAAATAACTCCTATAACCATTAAATAAAACTGACTTCTTAATTTAAAAGTCCCCCCAGCTGCTGCCAAAAACAAAAACAAAAACAAAAACCTGCAGGCTCAGATGGCTTCACTGGTGAATTCTACCAAATGGTTAATGAAAAATTAATATCAACTGTTCACAAACTCTTCCCAAAAATTGGGGAGAATATTCTTCAACTCATTTTATAAGATCAGTATTACTATTACCAACACAAGAAAAAGACATCACAAGAAAAGAAAATGACAAGCCAATAGCTCTTACAAATGTAGTAGCAAAAATCCTCAACAAAATATTAACAAGCCAGATATACCAACACATAGAAAGGATAATGTATGACCATGTAGGATTCATCTCAGAAATGTAAGGTTGGCTTAACATCTGAAAATCAATATAATACACCACATCAAAAGAACAAAGGCCAAAAACCTTTATTTTTGGCAAATCATCTCAGATGAAGAAAAACATCTGATGAAATACAATACCCTTACACAATAAAAACACCCAACAAACTAGGAAAGGAAACTTCTTCAACCTGATAAAGGCCATCTATGAAAAATCCAAAGCTAATATCATATTTAAAAGTAAAATAATAAGTGCTTCCTCCTAAGATTAGAAATAAGACAAGGATGTCTGCTCTTGCTACTCCTTCTATTCAACACTGTAGTAGAGGTACTAGAGCAAGGTAAATGATATGGTTTGGCTCTGTGTTCCCACCCAAATTTGATCTCAAATTATAATCCCCACGTCAAGGGAGGGACGTGTAAACCCCACGTGTCAAGGGAGAGAGATGACTGGATGATAGGGCAGTTGCCCCATGCTGTTCTCGTAATAGTGAATGAGTTCTCAAAGATGTGATGGTTGTATAAGCATCTGGAATTTCCACTACTTGCACTTCTCTCTCCTGCCAACATGTGAAAAAGGTCCTTACTCCCACTTCGCCTTCTGCCATATTTGTAAGTTTCTTGAGGCCTCCCCAGCCATGTGGACTATGAGTCAATTAAACCTCTTTCCTTTATAAATTACCCAGTCTTGGATATTGCTTTATAGCAATGTGAGAATGGACAGTAAATTAAGCAAGAAAGTGAATTAAATGGCATTAATATTGGAAAAAAATAAAACTCTATTTGCAGATGACATGATCATAAATATAGAAAACCCTATGGAATCCACTAAAAGCTACCAGAATAAACAAGTTCGGCAAGGATGCAAAGTACAAGAACAGTTTACAAAAATCAGTTATATTTCTATACACTAGCAATGAACAATTCAAAAATAAAATTAAGAAAATAACATTTATAATAGCAGCAAAAAATAAATAAAGTGCTTGGTAATAAATTTAACAAAACAAGTACAATTGTACACTGAAAACTACAAAACATCCCTGGAAGAAATTAATAAAGACCTAAACAAACATATAGTGTTCATGGATTGAAAAACTTCATATTGTTAAGATGAAAATGCTTCATCAAATCACCTACTGATTCAATGCAATTCATATCAAAACCCCAGAAGCTTTTCTTGCAGAAATGGACAAACTAATACTAAAATTAATATGGAATTGCAAAGGACAGAGAAAATCCAAAACAATCTTGAACGAGAAGAACAAAGTTGGAGGATCCATACATTCTGATTTTAAAACTAACAAAGCTACAGTAATTAAGACACTGTGGTACTAGAATGAAGATAAACATATAGATCAAGGAATAGAATTTACAGTCCAGACATAAATATCTACATTTATGGTCAATCTTTTTTGTTAAATTTTATGTATTCTTTTTTTAGAAGCGGGGTGTCTTATGATGTTGCCCAGGCTGGACTCGAACTCCTGGGCTCAAAGATCCTCCCATCTCAGCCTCGCAAACAGCTGAGACTATAGGAGTGTGCCACTGCACAAGGCTAAGTCAACCAACTTTTTGATGCCAGGACAATTCAATAGAGAATGAAGTCTTTTCAACAAACCAGTGCTAGAACCAAAGAACATCTACATGCAAAAGAATGAAATTGGATACCTTCATCATTCCATATACAAACATTAAATGGATTAAAATCCTGGTCCAGTGGCTCATACCTGTAATCCCAGCAAATGCAGGTGAATCGTTTGAGCCCAGGAGTTTGAGACCAGCCTGGGAAACATGGAAAGACCTTGTTTCTACCAAAAAAAAAAAAAAAAAAAAATTAGCTGGGCGTGGTGGTATGTGCCACAGTCCCAGCTACTCGGGAGGCTGCAGCTGGAGGACTGCTTGAGCCTGGGAGATCAAGGTTGCAGCGGGCTGTGATAGCACCAGTGCACTCCAGCCCAGGCAAAAAAGCAAGACCCCATTCTAAATTTAAAAAAAAAAAAAAAAAAAAGAGCTATACAACAGCAACAGCATCAAAAAGAATAATTAAGAATACACTTCACAAAGGAGGCAAAAGACTTGTACACTGAAAACTACAAAGCACTGTTAAAAAAAATTAAAGACACAAATAAATGGAAAGACATCCATGTTCATGGATTAGAAGATGTAATATTAAAATATTCACACTACCCACAGTGATGTACAGATTCAATACAATCTCAATGAAAATCCCAATGGCATTTTTTACAGGAGCACAAAAACAATCCTAAAACCCAAACAGAACTAAAAAAGCCCCAAATGTAGCCAAAACAATCTCGAGAAAGAACAACAAAGCTAAAGACCTCAAACTTCCTCATTTCAAAACATATCAAAACAGTATGGTACTGGCATAAAAACAGACATACAGACCAATAGGACAGAACAGAAAGCCCAGAAATAAACCCAAGCATATAAAGGCAATTGATCGTCAAGAAAGGTGCCAAGAATTCACAATGGGAAAAGAACAGTCTCTTCAATAAATGGTACTGGGAAATCTGGGCAGCTATATAAAAAGAATTCAAATTTGACCCTCATTTTACGCCATACATAGAAGTCAACTCAAAATAGATGAGAAACTTTAGTAAGACCTGAAACTGTAAAACTCCAAGAAGAGAACATGAGAGAAAAGCTTCAAACATAGACATGATTTCTACAATTTGACACCAAAAGCACAGGCAACAAGCACAAAAACAGACAAGTGAGACTACATCAAGCTAAAAAACTTCTGCAGAGCAAAGAAAACAATCAACAGAGGAAACAGGCAACTTACAGAATAAAGTATCTGCAAACTATACATCTGCTAAGGGGCTAAAATCCACAATATATGACTCCTATAACGCAATAGCAAAAATAAATAAATAAATAACCTGCTTTTAAATGGGCAAAGGACCTAAGAAGACATTTATTCAAAGACAACATACAAAAGGCCAAAAGGTATATAAGCAGATGCTTACCATTAGTAATCATCAGGAATATGCAAATCAAAATCACAATGGGATACCTTCTCATATCAGTAAGAATGGCTATTTAAGGGAACACTTAAATATTGTTGGTGGAAATGTAAATTAGTTCAGCCACTATGGAAAACAGTTTGGAGATTTCTCAAAAAACTTAAAACAGGCCCGATGTGGTGGTTGACAGCTGTAATCCCAGAACTTTTGGAGGCTGAGGTGGGAGGATCACTTGAGTCCAGGAGTTTGAGGCTGCAGTGAGCTATGTATTATCTCACCACTGCACTACAGCTCAGGTGACAGAGTCACATCCAGTCTCAAAAAACAAACAAACTTAAAACAGAGGTAGTATTCAACCCCATAATCCCATTACTGGGTATATATCCAAAAGAAATAAATCAGTGTACAAAAAAGATACATGCACTTGTATGAACGACCATTATCCAAAAACAAGAATAACAAGTGTTGACAAGGATGGAGATGCTGTAAACCCTACATACTGTTCATAGGAATGCAAAATGCTGCAGACACTATTTTAAAAAAAATTTTGGAGATTCCTCACAAAACTAAAAATGTAACTACTGTATGTTCCAGAAATCCCACTTCGGCATCTTTATCCAAAATAACTAATAATAGGTTTTTGTTTGTTTGTTTGTTTTGAGACAGTCTTACTCTGTCACCCAGGCTACAGTGGAACGGCACAATCTTGGCTCACTGCAACCTTCGTCCTTGCAGGTTCAAGTGATTCTCCCACCTCAGCCTCCCAAGTAGCGGGGACTACATAGACCTGGGTAATTTTTTTTATATTTTTAGTAGAGACCGTGTTTCACCATGTTAGCTAGGCTGGTCTCAAATGCCTGACCTCAAATGATCCATTCGCCTTGGCCTCCCAAAGTGCTGGGATTACAGGTGTGAGCCACCACCATGAATTTTTGAGGAAATATTTGCACTCATGTTCACTACAGCAGTGGTTACAACCTTTTTGGCAGCAGGAACTGGTTTCATGGAAGACAATTTTTCAATGAGTGATGGGATGGTTTCAAGATGAAACTGTCCCACCTTAGATCATCAGGCATTAGATTTTCATAAAGGGCATGTAAACTAGATCCCTCACATGCACAGTTAACAACAGGGTTCATGCTCCTAAGAAAATCTAACGCCACTGCTGATTTGACAGGAGGCAGAGCTCAGGCAATAATGCTTGTTCACCTGCCACTCACTTGCTGCTGTGCAGCACAATTTGTAACAGGCCTTGGACTGACAGTGGTCCATGGCCCAGATGTTAGGGACCCCTGCATTACAGCATTACATACAATAGCCAAGATGTGGAAACAACCTAAATGTCAATCAACAGATGAATGGATAAAGAAAATATAACCTCTCTCTCTTTACACAAACACACACACACACACACACACACACACACACACACCGAGGGACGTTATTCACCCTAAAAGAAGGAAATTCTATAATGTTGACAACATGGATGAACCTTAAGAACATTATAAGTGAAATAATACAGTCACAAGAGGCCAAATACTATATGATTCCACTTTTATGAGGGATTTAAGATAAAGCAGTCAATCTCATAGAAGCAGAAAGTAAAACAATGGTTGCCAGGGGATGAGAAGAGGTAGAAATGAGGAGTTGAGGCTGGGTGCGGTGGCCCACACCTGTAATCCCAGCACTTTGCAAGGCCAAGGTGGGAGGATTGCTTGAGGCCAAGAGGTCAAGACTGTAGTGAGCTGTGATCACAACACTGCACTCTAGCCTAGGCAACAGAATGAGACCCAGTCTCTACAAAAATAATACAAAATTTTAAAATTAGCCAGGAATGGTGGCAGGTGCCCATAGTCCTAGCTACTCAAAAAGCTGAGGTGAGAGGCTCATTTAAGCCCAGGAGGTCAAGACCGCAGTGGGCCATCACTGTGCTGCTGTACTCCAGCCTGGGCCACAAAGCAAGACCTTGTCTTTAAAAAAAAAAAAAAAAAAAAAAAAAGCAATTGCTATTTAATGGGTATTGTTTAAGCTATCTGAAATGAAAACATTCCAGAGATCTGTACAACATTGTACTTACGGTTAACAATACTATACTGTACACTTAGAAATTTGTTGAAAGGGTAGATCTCATATTATGTATTTTTTATTACAATAAAAAAATTTTAACTGTTATGCTTCAAAAGACACTATCAAGAAAGTGACAACAACCCACAGTATTGGAGAAAATATTTGCAAATCATCTAACTGATAAAAGTCTAATATTCAGAACATATTAAAAACCCTTAAAACCCAACAATAAAAAGACAACTCAACTAAAAATCAGGCAAAAGATCTGAAGACATTTCTCCAAAAAATATATATAAATGGCCAATAAGCAGATGAAATGATGCTCAACATCATTAGCCAACAGACATGCAAATTAAACCATGAAATACTGCTTCACACCCACCAGCATAGCTACAATCAAAAAGACAGTATGAACTGTTATTGAAGACATGGAGAAACTGGAATCTTCATATAATGCTGATAGAAATGTAAACTGGTGGATTGATCCAAGATGGCTGATCGCTAACAGCTCAGGATTGTAGCTCCCAGTGAAAGCACAGAGAACGAGAGGACGCCACATTTTCAGACGAATTTTCGTCGCTCACGGACCGGAAGATTCCCAGTGGAGGAGCCCCACGGGTCACCAGCGCGACTCTTGTGGCTGGCGCAGCAGTTTTGCCGGCGCCTCAGCGCAGCAGCTCTTCGTGCAGAGTAAATGGGAGGAGATTCCCGGGCAGAAGAGCACCATCAGTCTTACCATTGCCGTTTTGGCCAGCGCAGTGGGTTGCTCGGATTCCAGCGCTGGACATCCACTCAGAAACCCAACTAGAAAGGTGGTAATCATAAAGACGACAGATGGATAAATTTATAACAAAGGGAATAAACCAGCCTAAAAAGGCTGAGAATACCCAAAATCGGAACCCCTCTCCCTCCGCAGGGGATTATTGTTCCTCATCAGCAATGGAACAAACCCTGATGGAAAAGGACTGTGTTCCACTAACAGAAGTAGGTTTCAGAAGGTGGATGATAATAAACTTCTGGGAGTTAAAAGAACTTGTTCTAACCCAATGTAAAGAAACTAAGAACTTTGAAAAAAGGTTTGACAAAATGCTAACAAGAATAGACAATATAGAGAGGAATATAAATGAACTAACGGAGTTGAAAAACACAACACGAGAACTTAGCGAAATATGCACAAGTTTGAATAGCTGAATTGATCAAGCAGAAGAAAGGATATCAGAGGTCGAAGACCTACTTAATGAAATAAAACAAGAAGACAAGAATAGAGAAAAAAGGATAAAAAGGAATGAGCAAAGTCTCCAAGAAATATGGGACTATGTGAAAAGACCTAATTTATGTTTGATAGGTGTACCTGAATGTGACTGAGAGAATGAATCCAAGCTGGAAAATACTCTTCAGGATATTATTCAGGAAAACTTTCCCAACCTAGCAAAGCAGGACAATATTTCAACCTGAGGTAATAAAGAGAACACCACAAAGATATTCCTCAAGAAGAGCAATCCCAAGGCACATAATCGTTAGATTCACCAGGGTTGAAACGAAGGAGAAAATACTAAGGGCAGCCAGAGAGAAAGGTCAGGTTACCCACAAAGGGAAGCCTATTAGACTTACAGCAGATCTCTCAGCAGAAACCCTACAAGCCAGAATAGAGTGGGGGCCAATATTCAACATTCTTAAAGAACAGAACTTTCAGCCCAGAATTTTATATCCAGCCAAACTAAGCTTCACAATTGAAGGAAAAATAAAATCTTTTATGAACAAGCAAGTACTCAGAGATTTTATTACCACCAGCCCCGCTTTACAAGAGCTTCTGAAAGAGGCATTACACATAGAAAGGAACAACCAGTATTAGCCTTTCTAAAAATATACCAAAAAGTAAAGAGCATCAACATAAAGAATTTACATCAACGAATGGATAAAATAGCCAGTTAACATCAAATGGCAGTAACCTGAATTTAAGTTGACTAAATCCCCCAATCAAAAGATACAGCCAAAACCTAATGGTATGCTACATCCAGACCCATTTCACATCCAAAGATACACAAAGACTTAAAACAAAGGGATGGAGAAAGATTTACCAACCAAATGGAGAGCAAAAATAAATAAATAAAAAGCAGAAGTTGCAATTCTCGCATCTAATAAAATAGATTTCAAAGCAACAAAGATACAGTGCTAAAAGGATCAATGCAACAATAAGAGCTAACGATCCTAACACCCAGATACATAAGACCCATAAAGAGATTTAGACTCAACAAGACAGAAAATTAATAAGGATATCCAGGACTTGAACTCAGATCCGGAACAAGTAAACTCAATAAATATTTATAGAGCTCTCCAGTTTAAATACACAAAATATACATTCTCCACCCTAAACACACAAAATATTGATCAGCCATTATTAATACCCATTTTTAGAATAAAGCAACATTCCCGTTCTCTCTCCCTCTTTTTCTTCCTCTTTCTTCCCTCCTTTTTTTTTCTTTCTAGAAAAAAAAAGAGATAGCCCAGATTTGGAGCTCTAGCTAAAATAAAAAAAAAAGAAGAAGAAGAAATGTAAACTGGTAAAGCTTCTTTGGAACGTAGTCTGGAAGTTCCTCAAATGGCTAAACATAGAGGTACCGTATGACTCAGCAATTTTTCACTCCTAGACACATACACGTATACACAAAAGAAATGAAAACAAATGTCCACATAAAAACTTGCACATGGGCCAAGCATGGTGGCTCATGTCTGTAATCCCAGCACTTTCGGAGGCCGAGGTGGGTGAATTACCTGAGGTCAAGAATTCAAGACCAGCCTGGCCAACATGATGAAACCCTGTCTCTACCAAAAACACAAAAAATTAGCTGAGCACGGTAATGGGTGCCTGTAATCCCAGCTACTCAGGAGGCTGAGGCAGGAGAATCACTTGAAGCCAGGAGGCAGAGGTTGCAGTGAGCCGAGATCATGCCGTTGCACTCCAGCCTGGGCAATAAGAGTGAACCTCTCTCTCAGGAAAAAAAAAGAAAAGAAAAAAAATCCTTGCACATGGATGTTCCCAGCAGCCTTATTCATAATGGCCAAAAAAAAAAAAAAAGTGGAAACCCAACAACTGATGAATGGATACAAAAAAATGTGGTAAGTCCATATAATAGATTACTATTCAGCAATAAAAAGGAATGAACTGCTGACACATGCTACATCATGTAACATTACACTAAGTTAAAGAAGCCAGACATAAAGTCAATCTACATTATTATTCCATTCACACGAAATGTCCAGAATAGGGAAAGTCCTAGAGACTGAAAGTAGACTAGTAGTTGCCAGGGACTGGGAGAAAGAGGGAAAGGAAATTCACTGCTAATGGGTAGTTTCTAGATAAAATGATGAAAATGTTCTAAAACTGATTATGGTGATGGCTGTACAACTCTGTAAATATACTGAAAATAACTGAACTGTACAGTTTAAGTGGGTAAATTGTATGGTATATAAGTTATACCTCAATAATGCCATTTAAGAAAAACTATATGATGGCTGGAATTTGCTTCAAAATAATATGGAAGATCTAAGTAAATGGAGAAATATCCTGTGGTCATGGCTTGAAGGCCTCTATATAACAAAAAAAAAAAAAAAGCTTCTCTAATTGAACTATAGTTTTATTCAATTCGTATCAAACTCCCAGCAAGATTTTTTTTTTTGTAGATACAGATGTAATTATTCTAAAATTGTGTGGCAAGGCAAAAAAAAAAAACAGAAGAGCTAAAACAATCTTGACAGAAGAATGAAGTGAGAGGAGGCACTCTACTTGGTAAGACTTACCGTAAAGCTATAATAATCAAGACAGTGTGGTACAAGAGGGAAGAGAGACACACATATCAATGGAAGAGAATAGAAAACCCCAAAACAGACCAACACAACTATGTTCAGCTGAGTTTTGAACAGTTTGGAGTTTCTTAAATAACTCAACATGTACTTGCCATAAAACCCCTACTCTTGGGCATTTATCTCAGATAAATGAAAACTTTTGTTTTTAATAAGCCCTGTACACAAATCTCCATAACCTCTTTATTCATAACAACAAAATACTGCAACATACGAAAAGTTCTTCAACAAGTGAATGGCTAAACAAAGTATGTATACAAACTATACATACATAAATAAAGTATGTCATTCTGGAAAGAACAAAACTATAGCTAGTAAACAGTTTGCCAGGGTACAAGGAGAAGTGTTGGAATGGGTGAGAATATAAAGGGATAGCACTGTGTATCTTGGTCATCCTGGTAGTTACATCAATTTACATACGGGATAAAATTACTAGAACTATACATACACAAAAATAAGCACAGGTTTAAAAAATAGTGAAAATGATGTAAATTCAGTAGTGTAGTTAACAGTAATATACTAACGTCAACTTCCTAGTTTTGATGTCTTACTAGAACTTTACTAAGATGACTGGGTGAAGGGTACATAGGATTCTGTACTAATTTTGCCACTTCCAGTGAGTCTATAATTTTTTCAAAATAAAGGTTTTTTCCTTTTCTTCATAGTAGAGACAGAGTTTGGCCATGTTTCCCAGGATGTTCTTGAACTCCTGAGTTCAAGAGATTCACCCACCCTGGTCTCTCAAAGTGTAATGATTACAGGCGTGAGCCACTGTGCAAGGCCCAGAATAAGTTTTAAAAAAAATTAATATGTGAGGCCAAGTTTAGTGGCGCATGCTTGTAATCCCAACATTTTGGGAGGCCAAGGTGAGAAGACCATGTGAGCCTAGGAATTTGAGATCAGCCTGGGCAACAGAGCAAGAGCCCATCTCTCTATAAAAACTAAAAAAGAGAGAGGAGAGAGGTGTAAGGTGGAGGTACGGATGACATAAGATTAGCCATTAATTGCTATATGAGAGTTCATAATATTATTCTATTTTTCATTATTTAAATTTTTCCATAATTAAAGGTTAACAAAAATATAAGAAAGCCATATACCAAATATTAAAAGCAGTTTCTCTTACTTTTTCCTTTATGCTAATACACATTTTTTTCTACAAAATAAATTTCTTATATAAAATCTAAATTAAAAAAAATTTTTTAATTTAAATTTCTTACATAAATTTTTAAGGAAATCTTTGCTCATAATTGTCTTTTTGGAGATGTCCATGCTCCTGCGGCCACACAAATCACACTCAAGACATTCAGACCCTGAAAAACTCAGTTCGCCTTTTTTTCTTTTTGGTTTTTAGGAAAAAAAATTAAATATGAAAGAACCCCATTGAGGGAACACATGATATTTTATATAATTAAGTGTTGCCCAGTTTTTAAAAAAATTAATTTTAAAAAGAACCCTGTTGATACTTCTTCTGACAATACACTGCTTAAGTAATCTGAAAAATATTTCATCTAAATATCCAATTGATATTTCCCCAATTACATGTCACCTGAAAGTTCCAGTATCTTTTTCTAAAATTAACTAAGGGGCCTTGCTATAACAGATTTACAATCAGCACAATAACTCACTACTTTAGTGATCCTCACACAACAGAACAAATATATATGTTAAGTTCAGGATACCCTAAAATGTTTCAATAATTCTGGTTGAGTTTCCATTCAAAATTTTACCTAAGCTATCATAACTAACGTTAAATGTTTTGTTTTAAAATGTGTATGTGGTCTTTTTAAATTTTTCAGACATTTTAAAAGCAGCCACTGAAAAGTTTACAGTGGTAACAATACCATGCTGAAGAATTCAAAAGTATCTGTGAATCTGAAAAAGTAACAGAAATTCACTGAAAGAGTATTTCTTACAATACAATTATTTAAAATTTTAATTTGATTAAATTTAACTATATCAAGCAAAAGTGATACCACACCCTTTCCTTCAGTAATGATTTAAACTAAGAAGTAGAAGTAACAAGAGACCTGAGCTCTGCATTATCTGTCCGGCCTTGGTAAGTCACCATCTCTCCAAAACTCAGTTTCTTCATCTACATACTGAAGGACTTATACCTGTTAAGTCTTCCAGCTCCACAAGCCTGTATTCTAATGTTCTAATACATACTTCATAACCTTTGACTCATGATCATTCCAATGACAACATTGGAAAAAGATTTATAATTTACAGATATAGAAGTATCAATTACATGATGAATAACTTTAATAGGTTTAAATCACTTGGGAGAATGTTATTCTCAATAAATCAGATCAGCGTTTTGTCAACATCAGCACTACTGATATTTTGCACAGGATAATTTCTTTGTCATGGAGACTGTCATATGCATTGTAGGAGGTTTATCTATCCAGTAGATGCTAGTAGAACCCCCCCAGCATGCTGACCAAAAATGTCTCCAGACATTTGACAAAATCACCTCTGGTTTGAAAACTACTATATTCGATTTAAAATATCCAGGGGTTTTTGGAGAAGGGAAAAAGGAAAACGGCTGTTTTTGTTTTACAATATAGGAGGAATGGCATAAGAAAGGACAGGAATGTTTATCAGCAAAACAAAAGGTAGGGCTGGGCACAGTGGCTCACACTTGTAATCCCAGCACTTTAGGAGGCTGAGGCAGGAAGACAGCTTGAGGTCAAGAGTTTGAGACCAGCCTGGTAAACATAGTGAGACCCCAGTCTCCTTTTTTTTTTTTTAAAAAGAGCCAACCGCAGCTCATATACTATAAAAAGGTACCCTCTTGTATGAGGCCTACTGAAAAACATGAATTAAATATTGTTGTGTGTGGTCAATGTAGTAACAATGAGAATAAAAGTATATAAACTATGGGGAAATCCATAGGTATTCCATTCATGCCTTAAGAATTCTCAATAAAGAGGTCCAAAGGTTAACACAGATTAATGACATTAACTTAATTCCTCTTCTCCCTAGCATTTCAAGGAGGCTAAAAGTGCCCAAGTTACTACCTATTCTAACCGCTGAGAATATTCACATGAAAAACACATCTACCCCCAGTTAAATACCATAAGCATCTATCCGTTTTAATCAAATGTAAATGTGGTACGAATCCCACTAGAAGTAACACTGTGGAATATCCTCAAGTCCTCTGTTTTTAAAGAAAGGCCAAAGGAATCCAGTGTGGATAAATTACATTTAAATGTTACATCAGAAAAGTTAACTTTCACACGTTCACTTTTTGGCTCAGCCATATTTTCCACCAAACAAATACCCAGTTTCCTTAGTCTATTCTTGGATTGGTCACCAGACTGAACATAAAGAGACCCAGAGTCTATTCCCAGCTCCAAAACAGACTGGTAATCTCAAGCAAATTATTCGCTCAGATTAAGGTTCTATACCCATATCATGCTGACAATACTCAAAATCTGCCCAGAAACAAGTACAGAGAAACCCAGGACTTCCTCCTGTACCCAAAGGACAACTGCAAACATATTTTTAGATTTGTTAAATCTAAAAATCTGAATAGGATTTTATTTATAGCAACATTTAACATACTTGAAACTTCCAAATTGAATGGTGCCTTTAACACTGCCCTCTATAAAATTAAGAAACGCTTTTTTAATCACACCATGCTTAATTTTGCAAAATTCTGTATGTAAACTAATCACAATTATTATGTAAAACAAAAAGCTGTTTTAAATTCAAGCTATTGCAAAGAGCTTCAACTTTTGCATGTGCAACTCTAGCTTTCAGTCTACTGCACAAGCAGTTCTTTCCTGGCATGGTAAAAGGTGCTTCACAAAGTCTGGAGAGCAAAAGTTTGCCCCAGATCCCAACTCTGGAAAAGCCTTAGGATTATTCTTACGACTGAATATGAAGGGTTTGCTAATATAAGGATACAGGTGTACATTATTTGCTCTTAATACCCAGTAAAAAGCTGTCTAGTAAACCAAGTTACCTGTTGACCTTTTCGCAGACATCAAACTGTAAACACAATGCAGTTCAACAGAAAATTTGTAAAACAAGAATAAGTGGAAAACCGGGGTGTCCATTCATTATCAGCCTTGGGCGGCTCCCCGCTCCCCCCGCGCCCCGCTATCTGGTGGACACTTGTTAGTGGCTGCAGAGAAGCCGCTCACAAAGTTTCCCTTCCCGCTGAGGGAATGAGCCCTGACTGCACCAGCCGGGCAGACCCAGAAGGTCCAGACGCGGCAGACGACTCCACCAAGGCCCAAAACGCGCCAGCTTCTCCGCGCCCCTCCGCCTCCTCCCTGCAGAGGGGCGCACGCACGCACGTACACACAAAAGGAAGTCACGTAAGGTGCTGGTCCCTGCAAACGGCACACTCACGCGTCGACACACACAACCAAAAGGAAGCCATGGGGACCGCGTGCGGGGGTTCTCCAGACAGATTGGCAAAAGCTCGTCCTTCCCGCCCCAAGGCCTGCTCACTTAAGGGAGCGCACACCCACAACCCCAACAAGTCAAGAGCGCAGGGACCCAGGCAGGCGGCAGCCCACCTGCCAACACGCAGCTCCACGCCGCTGCTCCGCAGCCACCCAGCACAGCGCCAGGACAGTACCGCCCGCGTAGCTGGCCCATTTGGGCCTGGGCTGCAAAAGCCCAGGGAATATGAGGGCTCACTACTTCCCAGTTTCTTTAATAAAAATATTACACTTAATGATGCTTGTCACAATCCTCATCCCTACAAACCAGGGCCTGTTTAAACCCCTTTTCTTAATGAACCTATCAATGGTATCCAACAAAACACCACAGAACACAGCTTTGCATTATCACACAGCCTGACAGTAAGAAATCTTTCAGTAGCCTCTGCTTTAATCCTCCCTCTTATTCTAATTTTTCCACACCCCAATTTACTGATTTTAGTTTTTCCTTGCCTTGCTGTTTTGTACTGTTCCCAAAAGAAGTCTTCTCTAAAGTATCTTTCCATTTTACTTTTGAATTTTACTTTTCTAATACTTGTAAGTAACAAGCTTCATGAATCAGACAGGCATGGTGACTCACGCCTGTAATCCCAGCACTTTGGGAGGCTGAGGCGGGTGGATCACTTGAGGTCAGGAGTTCAAGACCAGGCTATCCAACATGGTGAAACCCCATCTCTACTAAAAATACAAAAAATTAGCCAGATATGGTGGTGGGCACCTGTAATCCCAGCTACTCAGAAGGCTGAGGCAGGAGAATTGCTTGAACCTGGCAGATGGAGGCTGCAGAGAGGCATGATTGCACCACTGCACTCCAGCCTGGGCAGCAGAGCAAGAGGCCATCTCAAAAAGAAAAAAAAGAAACTTCACAAATCACTTCCATATCTCCCACCTAGTTATTCAAAATCTCTCCGCAACTTTTATAATTTTTATCAGCTCCTACCAAATCAATTCATAAGTAACTTTCTCAAACACTACATTTTTCTTGTATGTTCCAATTTCCTCAAAGCTAACACTCTCCAACTTACACAACTTTGCCCTAAAATGCCATCAAAGCTTGTATATCTATTCCAGAAGCCCTCACAGTTACAGAAAAATCTATTTCCTAGGCCTGTCCTTAAAACCTTGAAAATGATCTTTCCAAATATTCTGTAACAATTCTCTTAAATCATCCATAACTCAAAACTAGTTGGACTATTAGTCCCACTTCCCTAAAGACTAACTATATAACCTAATCAAATGGACAAATTCTCTCTAATATGTATCTACACATACAGGTGTGTACATAAGCACACATATAAAGCAGCCTGCAGAACCCCAAGTGTGCATTTCATTCTACTCTCTTGGATATTGGCTCTTCTTAAATTTACAAGGAAAACTTCTCCATGCCATCCTAGATGTTCAAAGGTCAAACCCCTATATTGTGAAGTCATTTACCTATGCCAAATTAATTCAGTTACCATTTAAAACACACCTCTCTCCATGTCTACTATAATCCCCCCATCACCATCTTTAAGATATTCATCATTAGCCTACCCCACATAATATCCACCCAAATATTCAGAATATGCTCCCCCTTGACAAGGTCCAGTCTGAGGCATGTCCTAAAAACAATTCTAGACTGAATCAGGCAGGGCTGTTACATGATGGTATGGCTAAGTTTTGTGAGTTGAGCAAAGTGAGAACCGTGGGCCCTCTTAGGCCTTCAACACTCTGAGTCTCCAGAGATCTTTCATTATTAAATTTGATGGCTAAATAGATGTAGCAGTAAAGGCAGGAAGAAAGTGATGAAAGCCCAGGGCTACATGCTGGAACTAATCCTGAAACAAAGCTACACTAGGATGGAACACCAATACTACATATTTTATGCCTTGTCATATTTTTCTCACTGCCATTTCATGCATCTACATTAAATATGCTCTCTCTCTGATAAGGGCCCTGCGCAGTGGCTCATGTCTATAATTCCAGCACTTCGGCATTATTAAAGTCATTACAGACAAAAAAGAAAGTAAAGAATCCTTTTTAGTTCCGTTAGGACATCTCATTCTTAACATGTACCCCATTCTTTCCACTTTTTACCTAAACCTCTTTACCTATGCAAGTTCTTCCCAGTTTTTGCAAACAGAAAATGTGATATGGTTTTGAAGGACACAGAGACATCTCAATGTCTCTATCATTGACAATATTTTTTTAAAAGCTGGCATGACATACTGCCACCTTTTATTATGGGTGGCATAAACTGTTCTTATTTACAGAGAGAAGAAATAGGCTCCTGACATCAGTTATTTCCAGCTCACTTCAGGGAGCGCCCACCCTCCCGCCCCACCACTGGCCAAGAGCGCACAGACCCAGACAGGCGGCAGCACATCCACCACCACGCAGCTCCAGGCTGCTGCTCCACCAGTTGCCCAGTGCAGCACCAGCACAGCCCTGCCCACACAGCTGGCCCAATCAGGCCTGGACTGCAAAAACCCAGGGAATATGGGGGCTCCCGACTTCCCAGTTTCTTTAATAAAAATATTGCACTTAGTGATGCTTGCCAATATCCTCACCCCTACAAACCATGGCCTGGTTAAATCCCTTTCCATATGTTCTCTCCATGTTTTCTCTGCTGCAAGCTACTCCCTCCTCTTTTCTATGCCTACAACTTCAGCCTCCTCATTCATTTCCAGTCCATCTATTTACTAGATCCTATCAGCTTGTCCATGTTCTATTGTCAACAAACAACAGAACGACTTTTATCTTTTACCTTCATCTTTTTATTTTTTTAAGACAGGGTCTTACTCTGTTGCCCAGGCTCAGTGCAGTGGTGCAATCATGGCTCACTGCAGCCTTGACTTCCATGGCTCAAGTGATTCTCCCACTTCAGCCTCCTGAGTCACTGGGACTATAGGTGTGCACTATGATGCCCAGCTAATTTTTTATTTCTGTGTAGAGACAGGGTTTCCTTATGTTGTCCAGGCTGTTCTTCAACTCCTGAGCTCAAGTGATCCTCCTGCCTCTGCCTCCCAAATTGCTGGGATTATAGATATGAGCCACCACACCCAGCTCACCTTATCTTTAGTACACCTCTACCTCATCTTTTGTTTCCAATGTCTCATTTCTAACCCACAATTATCGCTCAGCTAAATTTATATCAGTATATTATACATGAATAGTTATAATTTTGCAAGTATCATTTATTTTATAAACGAACTGTTGGGAGGCCAAGGAGGGAAGATCACTTCAGACCCAGAGTTCAAGACCAGCCTGGGCAACACAGGAAGACCAAATCTGAAAGAAGACAAGAGAAAAGAGAGAAGAGAGGAGAGAGGAGAGAGGAGACAGGAGAGAAGAGAGGAGAGAAGGGAAGAGAGGGAAAAGAAAAGAAGAAAAAGAGAGGAAGGAAGGGGAAGGGAGGAGAGGGGAAGAAAGGGAAGGGGAGGGAAGGAGAGGGAGGGGAGCCAAGCAGGGTATGGTGGTGCACATCTGTAATCCCAACTACTCAGGAGGCTAAGACAAGAGAATCGCTTGAGTCCAAGACGCAAGGCTGCAGTGAGCCAAGATTGGACCACTGCACTCCAGCCTGGGTAAGAGAGAAGACCCTGTCTCAAAAAGAAAAAAAAAATGGAAAGAACTGGTAAATGTAACAAATCTAGCTACTGTTCTCAATCCCCGTGGCTCAACAATTCCAATCACTGTCAACTCTTGCCCAATTATTGTGACCATCTGCCTCCTTGTCTTACCTCAAGCCTGGTTTTTCCTGGACAATCTGCTTCTCTCATGACTCGCTATATCACTGTCCTACTCCTTCTGCTTGATAAAAAAGGACTTGCTGCTTCTTGCTTCCCAGGACCACTCCCCATTATCCTATCACTAAAAAATAGCTTGGGAGTCCCATTACTCACTGAAACCACTCCTTCTGCAACATCTACCAATCTCCACCAACCTCCAGAAGAACCTCCTATTTTCCCTACCCGATGACTCCAATTCTACTTGGTCCCAAATTCAACCATTATTCTCAATGACTTCAACAATGATGCTGAAGAACTTTCTATACCATGACGTTCATAAGCTCCTAAAACCTTCATCTGCACTTAAGATAGCCACAAAGAAACTGAAAACAGAGCCATCAATTAACTGAAAAGTGCTAGGCCAACTTCAGTGGCTCACGTCTATAATCCTAACACTTTAGGAGGCCAAAGCAGGTCAATCACTTGAGGTCAGGAGTTCAACACCAGCCTGGCCAACATTGTGAAACCCTGTCTTCATTAAAAATATAAAAAATTAGAGAGGTGCAGTGGCTCATGCTTGTAATCCCAGCTACTCAGGAGGTTGAGGCAGGAGAATCACTTGAAACCTGGAGGTAGAGGCTGCAGTGAGCCGAGATTGTGCCACTGTACTCCAGCCTGGGCAACAGAGCCAGACTATGTCTCAAAAAAAAAAAAAAAAAAAGTACTGTACCACTAGGATTGTAACTTCAGAGACCGCCTCCCTTTTCTTTACCCACAACCACTTATATTCTAGTTGTAGACCTGTACTTTAACTCCACTCGGCTTTATTGTCTCCCTACATAATTTAAACCTGTCCATCAACCATTTTAACACTGTCCTCTCCAGAATTCCATGACCTTCCATCATTCTCACTATGCATCTCCCCAGTGATAGACAATCTTCACCATCTGTTTTCTCCACACCCACACACTGGGTGTTAAGCACCACCAGAAAGCTATGAAATCTTCCACAACAGATTTATTCTAAATACAACTCTCCGCCTCATTGACTAATACAAATCATTTTCATATTAAATCCCTAATCCCATCAAATACTCAAACCCTTCTATAAAATTCCCTCAAATCACACCTTCTCCACCTGTAATCAAATCCTCTTCACAGCTTCTAAAATGCTGTATCTTCTTCCATCTGTTACTTCTGGTCTCCAGTTTGAGAATAAGAGTTGTTGTTCTTCCTTCTCAAACTAAACTTAATTCAGTTCCTACATTTATTGCTTCCAAATTCTTCCAACCCACTCAGTAAATCCCCATGCACTCTGGTCTCTGAACTGCTCTCTTGAGGACCACAAAAAATATAAGATAAATTTAAAAAATCTATGATCCCCCACCGAAGTCTTTACCCTCTTTTTTTTTTTTTTTTTGAGACAGGCTCTGTAACCCAGGCTGGAGTGCAGTGGCACGGTATCAGCTCACTGCAACTTCCACCTCCCAAGCTCAAGTGATCCTCTGACCTCAGCCCCCTCAAGTAGCTGGGACTACAGGCACATGCCACCATACCCAGCAAAGTTTATTATTTTTTGTAGAGATGAGGTTTCAACATGTTGCCCAGGATGGTCTCAAACTCCTGAGATTAAGTAATATGCCCACCTCAGCCTCCCAAGTGCTGACCTAACAGGTATGAGTCACCACCCCTGACCAGTCCTTACCCTCTTTTTGGCAGTGACATTGAGCTACCCACCTTGCTTAATGACACTGTAGCACATGATTCTACTGTGACTTCTCTGGTTGTTTCTTCTATCTGAAATCACTGCTGCTCCTCTTCCTACCCAAATTCCTACCCAAGTTCTGACCTGGAGCCTCCTATAATTCTCAGCCACTAAGGGTTTCATCCCTCACCACTACTTCAACATTTTCGTTCTTCATATGGCTCTGTCTTCCCCCAGCTCCACAAAATAATCTTTAAACCATCATCATCTCCTACAATCCAATTTACTCCTAAGGAATTAGAATATATAATAATTTCTTTTTAACTAGAATTGAAATATATAATGATTTCTTTTTAACTAGATTCAACTATTACTTCAAGTAACACTTCAATTATCACTCCAAATAATTTCATAACCATCAGTGCCCTAACTAAATCCAGAATTAGTAGCTGCAATTATCAACTCTATGTATGTACTCCTAACTCTATATTGGACTTCTTTTCTTAGCTCCAATCCAGCACTGGTGCCTCACACACAGGTCAGTGTGTCTTAAAACCCCGAAACAGTTCTGCTAAGTGATCTAATCATTTCTGTTAATGGCACCATCAATCTCAGTCAACCAGATTAAAAGCCCTGGAGCTTTTCTTCAGTTTTTTTTTTTTTCTCTACTGTTTCCGAAAACCCTGTATGCCATCAAACCTTCCAATTCTTTCTTTGAGGTATTTCTTATATCTATCCCTTTCCTTTTATTCCCACTACCACTACCCAACTTATACCCTCAATACTTCACTTTTTTTTGGAGACAGGATCTCCCTCTGTCACCCATGCTGGAGTGCAGATTTCGGCTCACTGCAACCTCTGCCTCCTGGGTTCAAGCAATTCTCCTGCCTCAGCCTCCCATGTGGCTGGAACTACAGGCATGTGCCACCACACCTGGCTAACTGTTTTATCTTTTGTAGAGATGAAGTTTTGCCATGTTGCCCAGGCTGGTCTCAAATTCCTAAGCTCAAGCAATCTGCCCACCTCGGCCTCCCAAAATGCTGAGATTACAGGTGTGAGCCACCATGTCCAGCCTACTTCACACTTTTGCCATAGTCTTCCTAACTTTGTCTCTCAGTCACCAGATTCTCTTCATTACAAAAAAAGGTAACTGGATTAATATTCTTAAATAGTCTCTTATTTACCAATTCAAAAATCAACAATGGTTCTCCACTGCATACTGACTTTATGTTAAAACTCCTCAGACTTCAGCCAGGTACGATGACTCACGCCTATAATCCCAGCAATCTGGGAGATCAATGTGGGTGGATCACTTGAGGTGAGGAGTTCAAGACCAGCCTGGCCAAGATGGCAAACCCCTAACTCTACTAAAAACACAAAAATTAGCTGGGTGTGGTGTTGCGTGCTTGTAACCATGGCTACTCAGGAGGCTGAGGCAGGAAAATTGCTTGAACCCAGAAGGTGGAGATTGTAGTGAGCAGACATCATATCACTCCAGCCTGGGTGACAGAGTGAGACTCTGCCTCAAAAAAAAAAAAAAACTCCTCAGACTTCAAAAAAAATTGAAACCATCCAACTGACCAACAATCATGGAATAGATAAATACACTGGGGTATATTCATATGATGGAATACCACACAATGAAAAACACAACATGGATAAAACTCACAGACAGGCTCCTTGAGAAAAGAAACTAGACAAGAAATAGGGTTCCACTTACACAAAATTCAAAAACACACAACGCTACTCTGTTATGAGGGAAGTCAGAATAATAGTTATTTTTGGTTGGATGAGTTATCAGCTTGGAAATGACATGCAAGGCAGCCTTCTGGATCCTGGAAATGTCCTGTATATTGAACTGGGTGGTGGCTACATATATTTATACCTAAGAAAAACTCATTAATCTGTACCTTAAGATTGGGGCACTTTACTGTATATATCTTAATAAATTTTCAAAAACCAGGTTAGCCTGAATTTTGAGATAGTCTGCCTACTTTTCAGCTTTATTTCCCGACATTCCTCAACACAAACCCTAAATTATAGCCAACCCCTAAACATACCCTGAACTTTGCTTACTGTCACTTATATCACCCCTTCTTCTTGAACAGCCAACCATCACCATCTTGCCTACTATTATCGTATTTATCCTTCAAGGTCTAAGCTACACACCAATTTCTCCACAAAGCCAATCCTAATCAAATTTGCCATAGTACTGGTGTCATGGGCAGATGTGTTTATTTTGTCCCTGGATAAATTCCTGAAGAACATGGACTGTGTCATATATCAACATGTATCCTTCACACTGCCTGCCATAGATCCTTGTGCACAGTAAATATAAAAATATACCCTGAATGAATAAATTCTGGCAGTCCATCAACATATCCTTCAACCTAACCCTCCTTCTCATATCCATCCATCACTCCCTCTACTCACAATTCACCTCACAGTTCACATATTTAGTTTCTATCATTCAACAAATAATTGAGCACCTACTACATGAAAGAAACTGAAACTCTAACATACTCCACTAAACTACCCAAAAATATAATCCAATTTCAGCTGCTGCCATTTGAATATTTCTACAACTCGAAATTTCCAGTCAGCCAGGAGTGGGGATGCGCACATCTGTAATCCCAACACTCTGGGAAGCCAAGGGAGGGGATCACTTGAGCCCAAGAGTTTGAGATCAGCCCAGGCAACATGGTGAGATCACATCTCTCCAAAAAAAATTGAAAATTAGCCAGGCGTGGTGGCACATGCCTGTGGTTCCAGATACTCAGAAGGCTGAGGCAAGAGGATCACTTGAGCCCAGGAGGTAGAGGCTGCAGTGAGCTACTGTGTTCACACAACCGCACTCCAGTCTGGGCAACAGATCAACAGCCTGTCATTGACTCATTCATTCATTAATAACAAATAAATAAACAGTGCATTTCCAGTCATCTTCCCCTCTTCCCTATCTCCAACTGCATCCCACTCCCATATTCTAATCCTATTGCTATCAAACTAATTCAAGCCCTCTTTAATTTCTCCAGGAGCCACCTAACTGGTCTTTTCACATACAATGTTACTCTACCACCACATTACCCACAATCTATCCAAGAAGGTATAGCTACTGCCAGATGAAGCTATCTAATATACAGTACTTGGCTCAATTCCCTACTCAGGCAAGTTCAACAGCTATATACACTAATAATGTATGCTAACATACTTTAATCCTATTCTTTAATTCTCACATTCTCACCACAACCCTTGCCAGAAAGGTACGATTATCAACTTGATGAGAAAATGGAAACTCAGAAAGGAAATAATTCTCCATAATCATACAGTGGGCAAACAGAAGAGCCAAGACTAAAACCCAGCTTCTGTTTGCTTACCAAGCACAACACTACATAATATCAAATACAAACTACTTAGCTTAGCTGTCAAGGCCATTTTCAACTCAACCCCAACTGACTCTCCTACCTTATGTTATACCTTATTCATGAACTTTCTGTGTTCCAAACTATGATTGTGATCAATTATTTTGTTAGTCATAAAATTAGTTTAAGGAGTGACAACCTTTTATTTCTTTCGCCTTGGCCAGCTTTTTTTCTTTTTAATCAAACAAAATAGATAACATCCAAGTGCATCTACCATGGTAAGGATAGTCACAGTATTATGAAACTTTTTGTTTTTCCCACACACATAAACATTTACACATGCATATATTAGATGAAGTGTGACATCTATTTCTTATTACAGGTCATAGTTTAAAACTTAAAATCTAAATCACCATTCCCCACATCTGGGCTTCTCACCTCCAAGCCTTGGCTTATGCTAATCTTTCAGGCTGGAATGCTCTCTTTCAGTAATCTTTGCCACTCAGAATCCTATCAATCCAAAACTTAAAAAAAAAAAAAATAATAATCCTATCAATCCCTTCAAAGACTAGCTAAAATTCCCCTTTTATGCCATTAAAATGCTGCCCCATGTTTTCTCCTAATCAAATGCATTTTTTGCCTTTTAAATTCAGTAATATTTGGTGTATTTGTGAATCACAGATATATTGGTGATTATAGTACAGGTATTTGTGCACAACTCCAGCTCCCCTACCAGAATACAAATCCCAGAGGACTTATTCCTGACTGCAAAGCATTATATGCTTTTGCATATAACAAATGTGCATTATCTGTTAAACAAAGAAAACTTATCCCATCGTTTTCTGAAACCCTCAGTTATAAATCAACATAATTTAATAACTTCTACTATATTCCAAACTTCTGTTGACTCTTATCCTTCAAATAGCTTTACCATTTTCCTCCTCAAAATAGCCCTTTCAAATAATCCTCTTTACCTTCCATCTTCTCATGCTTTCCCCTAAACATAGCCTGTCATATTTCAGTAATCTTTTCCTTTCTTCAAAATCATCCTTTCTATCAGATACTACCTTTCCTTCCCCATCTGCTTATCTTCTTCCTTATTCCTGGTTCTCTAACATCCATACATACTGATCTACATTCTTTAAACAGATCTTTCTTTTCTTCGCCATCTTTTTAACCAGACTTCTTGAATTATTTCAATTCATTGCTAGTGCATATATTCTGGCAGCCCCATTAAGTCCTTTGTAGAAAAAGGCAAGTTATGAATAAATGAAAAGAAACATAAAACATATAGATAATTCAGATCTCCTAAATTATCTCAAATATCTCATTCATTCATTCATTCATTCATTCAACAAGCTTGTACCTACTGGACACATGCCCTCAGTTCTGTCTATTCTATTCTGTAATTCAGAAAGCAGCTTTGAGAAAAGCACGCAGGAAAATGCCAGGATAACAGGGCCAAGTTGACTCACGCTCTTCACTCATGAAGGCCAAGTAATTTGTGGGGTACAGGCTCATAAAAGAACAACTAAAAGTTATAGTCTACAATGATGGAAAGCTGTTTCAGGGGGCTCAACATCTACCAAACAAATGTGAATTTGAAAGGAACAAACCAGTAGGAGTAGCTAAAATGAAACAGGCAGAAAGCATTCAGACAAAAATAGATCCAGAGTCTAGGTTCACTTTAGGGCTGCAAGAGAAATTTGGAGTCATTTAGTTCTTCTCTGAGATCCCTAAGGAATCTTTCCAAATATCAAGCTAAAGTATGGTTCACTTAAATAATTTCACCAAACCTTAGCCAATGTTCATTTCTCCATTCCCGGAACTCCTACAGCACTTACTGTCTATAAAACTCATCTGTGGTCTTAAACTATCTTGCTCCAGGTAATTTGTTAACAAATATACTCAGAATTTATTTATTTCATCTGAGAAAACTGAATTTTTTAATAAGAATTTGTTTACACATTCAAATCAGTATGGTCCTCTTTAAGTTACTTTGGAAGGCTACCACTTACTCATTTATTCACTCCATCCATCCAACCATCGGATGCACTCAACCATCTAGTGTCTAACTAACTACATGTGAAGTTATCACCCCTGTTCAAAATATTTCCAACTTCCGCCTTGGCAGTGTTTTAAAAATCAGCTAGTAAGTCAACCAAGAAAATTATTCCCATTTCTGTGATTAACTGAATTTAAGGCAAAACTATTCTTTATTCACTCTATTTGATACTGACTGACCTTGAGCATTTCTAAAAAATCAAAATTTCAAAGTAAAAAAGATTTGTCATCAATGAGACCATTCAAAATAAGCTTATGCCATGCATTATTTAAAAGTGTGCCTCTTGGCCAGGTACGGTGGCTCATGCTTGAAATCCCAGCACTAGGAGGCTCAGGTGGGTGATCATTTGAGGCCAGGAGTTCAAGACCAGCCTAGCCAACATGGTGAAACCCCATCTCTGCTAAAAAATACACTGGGTGTGGTGGTGCATGCCTGTAGTCCCAGCTATGGCTTAGGCAGGAGAACTGCTTGAACCTGGGAGGCAGAGGTAGCAGAGAGCCAGGATCGCGTCACTGCACTCCAAGCTAAGCAACAGAGAGAGGCTCTGTCTCAAATAACAAACCAACAAACAAACAAGCAAACAAACAAACAAATGTATGCCCCTTAAGCTAGGTGCAATGGCTCACACCTGTAATCCCAGCACTTTGATAGGCCGAGGCAGGCAGATCACCTGACACCAGGAGTTCGAGACCAGCCTGGCCAACATGGTAAAACCCTGTCTCTAATAAAAATACAAAAATTAGCCAGGGGTGGTAGTGTGCGGGCCTGTAGTCCCAGCTAGTTGGTAGGATGAGACAAGAGAATCACTTGAACCCAGGAGGTGGAGGTTGCAGTGAGCCAAGATCATGCCACTGGACTCCAGCCTGGGTGACAGAGTAAGATGAGGCCCTGTCTCAAAAATAAAAATAAAAGTTGCCATAGAAGCCTGGAAAGAACATTCCAGGATCATTTTAATACATTTCCAGATTTCCCACACTAAAACTCTCCAGAAGACAATGAATACTGGAATCTCAAAAAAAAAAAAAAAAGTGTGCCTCTTGGAGGGATTATGAACGCCTGGCGTTCCAAAATAAGGACCATCCAAAGATAAGGACCATGTTTTACTTACCTTTATAGACCCCTTCCCCCAACAGCACACAATAGATACTCAATAAATAGGTAAATTACATAGTTATACTCAGAAATTAATTCAGAAAAGGTGTTCTAAAAATATTCTGAACGCTGCTACTGAAAATGACCACCCAAATATAAAAATTCTTACCTGGAGATATAGTTTTGATATTTGTTTTTAAAAATCGATCTTCTGAAATCTTACACTGTTACTGAATTATTTTACAACTATCTTTCTCTCTCAAAAGAATGTAAATACTACTTTAGGAGGCCAAGGTGGGCAGATGACCTGAGGTCAGAAGTTCAAGACCAGCCTGTGAAACCCTGTCTCTACCAAAAATGCAAAAATTAGTAAAAATTAGCCAGGCATGGTGGCATGCTCCTGTAATTCCAGCTACTCAGGAGGGTGAGGCAAGAGAATTGTTTGAACCCAGGAGGCGGAGGTTGCAGTGAGCCGAGATCATACCACTGCTCTCCATCCTGGGCAACAGAGTGAGACCCCATCGCAAAAAAAAAAAAAAAGAATGTAAATACTATAAATTTCTTGAGGGAAGAAGCTTATCTGTTATTTTTACTATCCTAAAAATGAATTAAATCAGTCTTAAAACAGTCATTTATGCCTAAAGAAAAAAAAAAACTAAATTAAAATAGCACCCTGCTACAGACCAGATTTTACTCCAGATTAAACTAGCCTCAAATTTAGAAGAGACCTCTTGGTCTTCAATGTTGTTGCAGAACTCTTGCAGTTCCATTCTAATCCAGTCTGCCTTCTTCCCTTAAATCTAAAGGTCCTCTCCAGTCAGATATCCCTTTTGTCCTTCATGCTGTCAAAGGTCCTCTCCAGTCAGATATCCCTTTTGTCCTTCACGCTGTCAAACACACACACACACACCGTTTTGTCTCAATACCCCCACAGTACTCAGCAATTTCATACAATCCCACTATTATCACTAATAGTGAACCCCACTTTCCATCAGTCATTCAACAGGTATTTATTAAGCACTTAAGAATCAACCTGTTGGCTCACGCCTGTAATCTCAGCACTTTGGGAGGCTGAGGCAGGTAGATCACCTGAGGTCAGGAGTTCAAGACCAGCCTGACCAACATGGAGAAACCCTGTCTCTACTAAAAATACAAAATTAGCTGGACATGGTGGCACGTGCCTGTGGTCCCAGCCACTCGGGAGGCTGAAGCAGGAGAATCACTTGATCCCAAGAGGCAGAGGTTGTGGTGAGCCAAGATCACATCATTGCACTCCATCCTGGGCAACAAGAGCAAAACTCCATCTCAAAAAAAAAAAAAGAATCAGCCTGTTGTGAGTTTCCCTAGAGATACAGGAAGTCTCTGCTCTAGAACAGGTTACCATTTACCATTTGTAAAACAAAGAGAATAATTGTCACAAATACAAAATTTAGCAATACATAACCTACATGTGAATAGTGTTGCTACTGAAAGTACGGAAGACTTTTAGCCGGGTACAGTGGCTCATGCTGTAGCAAGCATCCTTACAATAGACCAATGTCATCAGCCTTAAAAAACTGTTCAGGTGGGAGGCCGAGGCAGGCAGATCACGAGGTCAGAAGATCGAGACCATCCTGGCTAACGTGGTGAAACCCCATCTCTACTAAATATACAAAAAAAATTAGCTGGGCGTGGTGGCGGCTGCCTGTTGTCCCAGCTACTCAGGAGGCTGAGGCAGGAGAATTGCTTGAACCCAGGTGACAGAGATTGCAGTGAGCTGAGATTGCACCACTGCACTCAATACAACCTGGGCGATGGTGCAAGACTCTGCCTCAAAAAAAAAAAAAAAGAAAGGAAGACTTTCAAGAGGTGCCATTATTTAAAGGCTCCTAAATAAAGTGGAACAGTATCTTTCTATTTTCCCAATATCCACCACAATGATTTATTTGCATCTCATATGCAAATTTCAAAAACACTAATATTTTACAACTCTATCCTAACATATGACATTGAGCCCAGTACAGTTTTTTCCTATCACATTCCCAACATATTAGTAATTTAAACATGCTAATTTCCTTAAAGGTGACAAAAATTCTAGTCTCATCACCATAAGGTAAACTTCCGTCACAATAACTACATCCAAATCCCCTCAAAATACTTTACCTTTTCTTTAGCATCCTCAATATGTATCACCACCTCCATCAAACCCTGTTCCTCATCCTCCTCCTATCACATTTCCCCACCTCTCCTTCCCCCATCCCTGCAAAAAACATGTGTCCACACCAATCCATTCCCTCCTAAAAATAAAAACGTAAGAATTGTGGCCCGGCACAGTGACTCACACCTATAATCCTAGCACTTTGGGAGGCTGAGGCAAGCAGATCACTTGAGCCCAAGAGTTCAAGACCAGCCTGGTCAACATAGCAAAACCCCATCTTTACAAAAAAATTAGCTGGAAGTGGTGGCACATGTCTTTATTCCCAGCTACCTGCGGTGCTAAGGTGGGAGGATTGCTTGAACCCAGGAGGTGGAGGCTGCAGTGAGCCAAAATCACACCACTGCACTACAGTCTAGGTAACAAAGTGAGATCCTGCCTCAAAAAACAAACAAAAAAGGAATTGCCATAGAAGCCTAGAAAGAACATTCAAAGGTCATTATAATGCATTTCCAGATTTCCCACACTAAAACTCTCCAGAAGACTGTCAAAGAATACTGCAAACTGCTAATTCGAGGATGAACAATTATCATTATTAAGCAACTCCTCTTCATCTCTAACAAGCAAATATTATGCTTAGATGTTTCCTACAACATGGTCTTTTTGATAAGTCCATCCAAACTTCCCTTTAACATTCATCTAGCATTTTTACTGTAATTGTCAATGTTCCTTCTACTTCAGGAAAGCCTTATTTAGGCTAAATCCTTATCTAATATAATGGGGAAGTCAAGAGATAAAGCCTAAGATTGTTGGACTCCAAAATCAAGGTTTATGCATATTATCAAAAAACATAAACACACTGAATAAAATAACTAAATTAACTACCAAACGTCAGAAAGAAGGAGAAAGGGAATAATGTCAATTACACATTCATAGAAGTCTTCTGACTCCCTGATAATGTCATTTTGATAAATCAAGAAATGACATTATATGCCTATTACTTGGAGACATGGAAAAAAGCATGGTTAAGAAATACAAAATTAATGCTTAGAAATAGCAGCCTCAGTAAAGTAGAACTGCAATAGACAGGTGAGACAGGGGCTACTGCTTTTCATAATAAATTCCCTCAGAGAAATTTTATAATAAAAGGGTAGAAAGACAATGTAAAGACAATATAATAAACACAATATTTAAGTGCATTCCGCTTACAAAAATAAAAAAACACACAATAAACAGTGCTGGTGAGAGAAAAGGGAAGGAAGACTAGCCCTGTCATGCTATGATCATAATAAAATTAGTATAGCATATTATGATTAAAAAAAAAAAAAGCCCTGGCCGGGCACTGTGGCTCACACCTGTAATCCCAACACTTTGGGAGGCCAAGGCAGGGAGATCACTTGAGGCCAGGAGTTCAAGATCAGCCTCGCAAACATGGCAAAACTCCACCTCTACTAAAAATACAAAAATTAGCTGGACTTGGTGGTGCATGCCTGTAACCCCAGTTACTCTGAGAGGCTGAGGCAGAAGAATCGCTCAAACCCAAGAAGCAGAGGTTGCAGTGAGCTGAAATCATGCCACTGTACTCCAGCTTGGTTAACAGAGCGAGACTCCAGGAGAAGGGGCAAAAAAAAGCCCTAAAAAGAATGAGTAGCCAGGTATGATGTCACACCTGTAATCCCAGCACTTTGGAAGGCCTAGACAAAAGGACTGCTTGAGGCCAGGAGTTGGAGACCAGCCCAGAGAGCACAGGGAGATCTCTTCCCTACAAAAAAACTAAAAAATTATCTGGGCATGGGGATGCATGCCTATAGTTCTACCTACTCAAGAGGCTGAGGTAGGAGGATCCCTTGAACCCAGGAGGTGAAGGCTGCAGTGAGGTATGATCCAAGCCACTGTACTCCAGCCTAGGGGACAAAGGGAGACCCTGTCTCAAAAAAAAAAGCCCAGGCACGGTGGCTCACACCTGCAATCCCAGAATTGTTGGTGGCTGAAGCACACAGATTATCTGAGGTCAGGAGTTTGAGAGCAGCCTGTAACCAACATAGAGAAACCTTGTCTCTACTAAAAATACACAATTAGCCAGTAATCCTAGCTACTCAGGAGGCTGAAGTAGGAGAATCACTTGAACTCGGGAGGCAGAGATTGCGGTGAGCCAAGATAGCACCACTGCACTGCAGCCTAGGCAACAAGAGCAAAACTCCATCCCCAAAAAAAAAAAAAGAATGAGTAAATCTGGCAGCCACAGTGGCTCACGCCTATAATCCCAGCACTGTGGGAGGCCGAGGCAGGCAGATCACCTGAAGTCAGGAGACCAGCCTGGCCAACATGGTGAAACCCCATCTCTCCTAAAAATACAAAAATTAGCCAGGTGTGGTGGCGGACACCTGTAATCCCAGCTACTCAGGAGGCAGAGGCAGGAGAATCATTTGAACCTGGGAGGTGGAGGTTGCAGTGAGCCAAGATTGCACCATTGTAGTCCAGCCTGCGCCACAAGAGTGAAATTCTGTCTCAAAAAAATAAGAATAATTTTGGATTATTTCTATTAAGAAAATATATAATTAAAGAAAGCACTCTCCATTCTAATGCTAAATTATTACTCTCCTTTGAGATAGCTGCTAAAGGAATAAACAATTGGATTTTTCTTTCCCTCTCCCAAATTTCATTCCATCTTCCCCATTAATCCCTTCAACCTCTACTACCATAAAAAGATTTCTCATACTTAACATGTTTATTATCCTCTCTTCAGTTGAAGAAATATTACCATGTAATGTGCATATAGTTTTTTCTTAATAAAAGTTGAATAATATCCGGGTAGATTAAGAGTATGGTTCTAGCCCAGAGTTCCTTCTTGGAAATCTGGTCTAGTGTGAGCTCAGCAAATCCAGAGGGAGCTTGGTTCATTTTCTGATACAGAGATGCTACTCCTCCCTCCAACTTGGCTCTAGAATCATTCAGTCTCCTAGGTTCCCCTAGACCTTATGATAACTAGTCCTGACCTCCTTGCAACCTAAAACCAGAACAGATATTCTAGATCCTCCATGCTGCAGGCCCACACTTTGCTGGCTGATACATTCTCTTCAATGCCTCCATGCCTGAATGAGAGAGTATTCTCTCACTGGAGAAGAACTCCCTCACAGTTCACATCAGGAACTGAATGGCAGAAGATCTCTCAGCAGCCACAGACTTATGGAACCAATCCAGCCAACTAGACTAATTTGACCTACAAATGAAGTATCCAAAGAAGGGCCACCAAATGTACTCTCCCCACCATTAATTATAATCTTGTGTACTGCAATCCAGCCTGAATAATAGGGCACCAATTCTTCTGGACCAGATAAACTGGGCAGTGAAGAAAACTACTAAGTCAATTAATTTCCATTCCAGCATTTGCCAGGATAGTATTCACCCAACCTCTGGTAAGTGTTAATACTTCAAATTTTCTAAAATCGAAACTCCATGGCCTAAGGAATCCCCACAGGCCAGGCCCTTTCTCAAGGTCTGCTTCAGCGGTTCTCCTATTCATTGGTGCATGTCTAAACTGTCACAGACCAAACTACAGACTAAAATCTAATTCTCAGTGACCCCAACCACAGCCCAGACCCACACTTACCAGCTGTCATCTATTGAAGAGCCCACACGGGTTCGGAACTAGGCCATCCCGGCCCATCTGGAATAACTCTTCAGTCCTTAGGCCAATATTTATTAATTATACCACATCTGTCTATTCTATTATGCATTCCCTTCATCTTCTCTACTATTTAGCACTCCCTCGTGCTTCAAACGCGATCGTTTCTATTCACGGGACCTCCTATCTCCCTTCTTTCCTTTCCTGAGAAACGCTTCAGTTCTTTCCATAATGAAACACCTAACGTATCTGCACAATGAACACCCTCCAGGATCCTCAAAACTCCACAGCCACCCACTGAATTCCTCCACCTCTCCGGCATCTTTCCTCCGGCCCCTCTCCCTGTTCGCACTCCCACTACGTTTCCTGCAAGCATTCTCTTTTCTCCAACCCCTGCCCTTCCCTTCTCCCGAAGAGCACACTCCGGCAGCAACAGTGACTGAGGCCTGCGGTGCATAAAGCACTGCACCAGGCACGGTGGACAGAGCCCTGGTGTCTCTCTAGCCTTTTCACACCCACACCCAGCACCCTCTGGCCTTCCCGTGCAAACATCCCACCTCCTCCCCTACCTCTGACACCCCCCTCCAGCCTCGGAGGCCGCCTTCTCGCCTCTGCCACCCTCGTCATTATCCTTTTTCAACCCCCCAACCCACCCTCCGCGCCCTGCTTCCTCACGTCCCCCGGCCAGCCCCAGCGTTTCCCTCGGCCTCTGCCGGCACCCAGGCCACCCCCAGCCTCGCTACGGCTCGCTCCCCCCGGGGTCAGGCCGTTACCGCCGCGCGCTCCCCCCGCGCGCCGCCCCCTCCCCCTCCCCCGCCCTCCCCCGGGCCCGGGCCTGCCAGGCCGAGCGCTTTACCGCGGGCGGGCGCCGAGTCGCGCGGTCACCGACTGCAGGCGGCGGCAGCTCCAACCTTTCTAGGGACCTTGAGAGGAGGGGAAGGGGGGAGGGGGGATAACTTTTGCTGTAGCAGCTTCGGCAACAGCTCCCACCCCTGCGCCTTTCTCCTCTTCCTCCCCCTCCTCCTCCTCCTCCTCTTCCTCCTTCTCTTCCTCCTCCCAGAGCAGTAGAGACGCAGACATGCCGCAGCTAGAGCGCCGCCGCGGTCGCCGCCACTGCCGGCCCGGTGCATTGTGGGAAGCCCCGTACTCGGGAAGCGCTCCGCGCAGCCCTCCCTAGCTTGGCGCGGAGACCTGGCTGGGAAGACACAGCGTGGCTTCGATTCCGGCGCCTGCGTGTCACCAGCTCAGGGTGGCCGTGGAAGCTGGGCCCGAGCCGCAGGTCCCCCAGGCTGGGCCCAGGAGGAAAGCGGTTTGAAAAAGATTGGAACCGAGGACTTCTCTTGGAGCGGGGGGGACTCCCCCGCTCCTTCAGCCTTAATCAGTGCCAGCGCTCGGAGAAGTGGAGGACTCGGGGGTTAGGGAGCGTTTCAGGCCTGGGGAAATTGAAGGGTCGGGGACCTAGGTGAAAGGTTATTTGCTAGAAATTTCTTGGCTTTTTCATTTATTCTCTCTTACCTAGCCGTCCGCCGCCATCTCCAGTCGTTGGCCTCTACCACCTTAAAATGCCACCTTTCCCGAAAGATATAGCCCTGCGTCCTTGAAACTGGCAAACCCCGTTAGTGTCTGCAAGCTGAGATGGATGGAGGGTGTGGGCATAGAGACAGATCAAGAGATCGTGCCCGGACCCTCTTGAGCAGAACCTTCTTCTCATTTCACCTGAAGCCCAAACTTTTTATGGCAAAAACTTGGTCATGATCTCTATAAAGCTAGGATTACACCGTTGTCTCATTCTTTGGGGGCCCTTTAGGTAACTTTAGCCAAATTGTGACCTTAATGGTGCCTTCATCAACTAACATTAGGCGCCCAGAGGTGCTTGTGCATACTGCCATCGTTTTCAGTTACTCAACTTTGTGTACTCACCCTAGCACAAGGTCAGTCATATAACATAAAAGATGCTCAGCGAATGTTGAGTAATTGTGAGCATCCGGAACTTGCTGTGGGATAAAACGCCTTCATTGCGATTTCTTCATAATAATCTGAAGATTGCATTTAGCACCTCTCTGCAATACTTAAATGTAAAGGGAAAAGAAAAGGCATGAAAATATCTATAGAACCACTTCTGGCGTTCTCCTTTCCTTGTCCACACCCACCTTCCCACCCCTTGCCAACTGAATGTTCATTTGAATAGTGCTTTTTGGCAAAACTCCAAACTCCCGCATTATGCACTTGTGATGACACTGAATTAGACTAGTGTCTGCAAGGTTAATGTTCCCTCAGGCATTAACCTTAGTAAATCGCGATGCCTGTTTAGAAATAGCTAAGGCCCATAGGTTCAGCTTAATTTAGGAACAGGTAACTAAGAGCAAGAATAAGCCATGCAGCTCCACAATCAACTCTCTGTGTGCTTTCTCCATTAAAAAATATAAATTTTAATAAGATGACTGCGCACATTTTGAATGTTAATTGCAACAAAACAATGATACAAGTTAGAGCCAAAGGACAATTATCTGGAGGACAGCCTTCTGGCAACTTCTAGCACCTGCAATGGCATCAAATTCAGATGTCATAATAAAAAACACCTCTGACAGCAAGGAAGCAGACTCTTAGTATTAGGCAGTGGGAAAACTAACAACTCAAAAGGGCTCAAGGCCTGGAGGTTACACCCAATGGGCTAGGATTGGTTGGTTTGCCGTTAGGAATAGATCTAGTTCTCTGCTCAGCAGCCTAACGAAGAAGCAATAGAGAAACAGCTATCTGAAATGGGCAGAATAAAAAGCACTACAGGGATAGTAACAGCAGAAGTGATGGTGAGGAGCAAGTTTAGGTTCTTTGTAAGTTAAACTGGAAAAACTTCTCACCTTCAGGTTGACTCTCCATGCTCCTCTTGTCATTTCCCCAAACACCACCCGTAGGTACTCAGCCTACTTACTTTTCCTTTTTTTTTTTTAACTTTTTATTTTGAAATAATTATAGACTCACAAGAAGTTGCAAAAATAGTACAGAGTCCCATGCTTCCCTCAATGGTGACATCTTATAAAGCTTTAGTAAGACATCAAAACCAGTGTCAACCTAAATAACGGAGAGGCTTTCTAAAAGAAAATAATGTTTACTTGGGAATAGAGCATTGCACTGAAAATTTACTCATCATAGTTAACTGTCTGCATACTCAGGGAGGTAAAGGAAAACAAAGGTGTTTAAAAGAAAAAATGGAAAGGATTACATAATTGTTTTGAAATAATTATCCTTGACTACAAAGATCAATAACAAGGGTGACGCCAGTCCAAGGTTGGACAGGCATTTGCTGGGCAGAACCCTCTCTTCTTAGCCTTCCCTAGCTCTGTTTGTCAGGGTTTCTTAACATTAGTGACTCCATTTTGACTGTGACAACTTTCACACCAGGAAACCAACAATGGTACATTACTGTTTACTAGACTACAGAACTTACTCATTATACGCCATTTTTTTAACCTATGTTCTGGGTGTGTGTGTGTGTGTGTGTGTGTGTGTGTGTAGTTCACTGCAACTGAACCTCACTTACAGATGATTGTAACTACTCCTATAATCAAGATGTAGAACTATATTCAGAAATCCCCCTCCCTACTCCAACTACTCTCCCAACTCCATGCCCGTCCTCTAGTAACCAGTAATCTATTCTCCATCTCTATACTTTTGTAATTTCAAAAATGTTATGTAAGTGGAATCATACAGCATGTAAACTTTTGAGATTGCTGTTTTAGCCTAAGCATAAAGGCCCACAGCTCAAGCAAATCTAAAGGGCACAGCCACTTCCAGCTGATGGTTTCTAAGTGGGAATGTGATAATTAGGAAATCAAGAGAAGTCCGGAATCTGAGTTTTGGTGTGAAATCTCCCAAATATTAAATGTTGACAGCTCATTCCATTTGTTTTTAAGAACACAAAAGCATGTCAACAAAACATGCCTGTAGGCCAGATTAAGCCCATAGTCCCAGTATATCTTCTCTGATGTGGCCTAAGCCATCGAGGCTGGCACCGCTGTTGTGATGGGTAAGATTCTCAGAGACTGCCAGAGCCTCTGTCCTCCCTTATGGCTCTGGAATTAGTTCTGAGTCTTGGTCTTGCACTCCATCAGGAGAAGAATGTACTTCTATCTCTTGCCTGCAAAGACTTCATCAGGTCTTCAGACCATCCTCTAGTAACCTCTTTCCTTCCTTTTTTCTAGTATTCTCAGACTTAGGACTAAATGGAAGTTCTGTCTTCTCTATCCTTGTGGCTCCCTGCAGCACTAGCCATGTGTCAAAGTTTCTTCCTTAAGGATAAACTTGTCCTTTTCTTTGCAAAGCTCTAAATTCATAGCCTTGCTACAGATTAATCCACAAAAGCCTGCCTCTACTGCATCACTCCTACTGTACCCAGAAAAACACAGCTCTTCCTGTAGCTAAAGGACTTCTTTTCCTGCAACATCTCCCGATGAGTTCCTGCTTCAGATATGCTTCAGGCCTGGGGAAATGGAAAGGTTAGGGACCTACGGGAAAGATTGTGTGCCAGAAATTTCTTAGCTTTTTTGTTTATTCTCTCTTACCTAGCCCTCCGCTGGAGTGCAAAGGGCATCCTGGTCACTGATATATTATAAAACTAATGAATAGCCTACTGTCTCCTGTATAGGATGTAGAGTATAGATAATTTCTTGAGTTTGGGATAATAAATAACCCTGCACCTCTCAGAAGCATCTGAAGAATGTACTGGGTTGCACTAAAGTTCATCAGCTGTAAGATAATTGTGGTTTAGAGGGACACCACTGAAAGGTCAAGATAAATAAGAATGAATGAAAATGAGGTCTTGGGCCAGGATGATATTAGTGGGTAAGGAAAAACTAAAATAATATGAGGATAATATCTGCTAATATCTACTAGTGCCTAGAGGTTAGCCTGGTGATTAAGTCCACAGATCTGCAGCTAAAGCCAACTGAAGTCAGGGTTTGAATCCCCACCCTACCACTTA